ACAATTCCTATTTTCCTCATTAAGGTCTACACAGCAAATTCCAGGTTACAACTTAGACTGATCACCTGGCAAACACGAGCACAGCATTGTCTCAGCCAGTAATGGATGGGCCAGAGGAATTTTGATACACAAAACAGAAAGTCAAAACCCTAACTGCAGATGGCTCCCTCGTGGATCACAAAATCCACGCTTTAATGTGGCTAGTTCAAGCATCAGCAGCACGTCCGCTATTAGAGCATAAGGAGGTATCAGAGAAAATCAGGCACGTATAAATGGTGAAGGGTGTGCTGCTATCTGGGAATCCAGACACCATGAAGGGAAGTGAAATGAATCCATGCAGCAGACACTAAAAAGGAAAAGATGATGGTGCAAATGAGGGATGTAAGCGACTAGTCAACTAGTCCTTCCCCCCCTACGCTGCTGCCTCTATCAGAGGCAGCAAGGAGCGGGGGAGGCAGGAGCCAGTGCTGGGGGAACCAGCTTAAAAGGTGGTTTCCCCCCAGCACCTTCTCCGCAGGGTGGACCGGGCATGAGCCGGGAATAAGCTGGTTCCTGGCTCGTGCCCAGTCCCAGACACTGCGCCTCTAGTTTTTAAGTGTATTAAATGCCTACTGGCTCTTAATACATTTAAAAACCAGAAGCGCAGCATGGGGGACCCAGCGCGAGCTGGGACAGCTGGTTCCCGGCCTGCTGCGCTTCAGCCTTTTAAATATATTAAGAGCCTGTTAGCTCCTGGGGCTGAAAGCTAACCCTGCTGCGGCTCCCCCACTTATCGACTAAATCGTCTAGTGTATGGAAAATCCGTCGTTTAGTTGATTAAATTAAATTTAAAGATCGCTAGCGCAAACCACACATTTACACTTATACCGTGTGCAAGGAACAAACCGAGTGTTTGTACAAACCTGACAAGCTGATTGAACTGTATCTGGCCCAGGTGATCAGAAAAGGAAACATTCATTTTCTAACCTCTCATTTCTAGCTTCAGTCTCACTCTGATCCTGGCAAACACTCCCAGAACTGAAAGGTGGGCCAGGACACGAGGAAGGCCTGACCAAAGCAAACCCAGGAAAACACCTTGTTTAAAAAGGGATTTGCATGTTTGTCTTGTAAGAAACGAAAGCGTTTTGCAGACTGGAACGTGCGAGGCAGCTGTCTGAGCTCACAGACCTCTTACTGAAAAAGGCCCCAGAAACATCTACGAAGCTTGGGGCTCAGAGGAGGCGATCTAACATTGCACGTTAGCGCTTTATATTGGATGCTCGTTGGAATTCATGCTTTTTCCCCCACTGTTTAAAATAGACCCCAGAATTTGGTTCAAGGACCCCTTAAATGAATACATCTCCTGGCACCGAGGGCACATTGCACTTTGAAGGCTGTAGTTTCCCCAGCACATGCATTAATTGGCCAGGTGTAGCAGAACAATCCACTGCACTTTTCAGAGGGTCTCTGTAAAAAGCTCCCTCCCGGGGATTCTGAAATCGATGTGACGGAAGCGTGTGGGTACTTTACTGTCGTTATTTTACGTATGTGACAGACATTTCACTCCCTTCGAAAGATTCTGAATTTCACTCAAGGGTTTTATGGTACCTGCTTTGCGCTGATGGATATACGAGGGAATTAAAAGTCCCTGCTTTATAGTAAAGCATCAGGAGTAACTTCCAAGACCTCCGAAGCTCTTGTGTTCTGGTACTGCAGCCTCGGTCATTCCAGCTTACAAGATCTGGACATAATGCCCTTAAGAGCTAGCGCAGGCGTCAGCAACCTACGGCTCAGTACGGAACCAAACATGGCTCTTGTGTCATTTCCAAAATACATGCAACGGAAATCAAAATGCTAACTCTGGCACATAGTGTGCTGCATGGTGCCTGCCCTGCTGCTCCCACCCTGGCAGCAGCTCCAGGAAAAGCTGCCCACCCTGCTGCTCCTGGGGGTGGATCGGGGAGTGGGGGGAAGCCAGGTGGACTCAAGCCCACAGCCCCAAGCTCCAGAGGCTGAGGCTTTATCCATTAGGTCTCTGGAGGACCCACCCTACCTGCAGGTGGTCTCTGATCCTCCCTACCTTCACCCCCCCAACCCTGTGTCCTGAGTCCATCATACACCCACACCCCCTGCCCTCAGCCCCTCATACACCCCAGCCCAGACTCCTGCACCCCCACACCCAGCCATAAGATTGACAGACAGCCTGAATGCCTGCACAAAGCTGGATTTGACCGGTTGTGATGTAAACATTAAAGAAATGTGCAAAAAGATGCAGCAGCAGAAGTCCCATGTCTCGTTTGTGCTACTGTTAATCACGTCAATTACCAAGAATAGTAAGTTGTATATTTTCAGTCATGCAAATGGGCATTCGTATACGGCTCTTTGCTGGGTACTTATTCTAGATTTTGACGTAGTTTGGCTCTTTGGTTTGAAAAGGCGGCCCACCCCCGAAGCGAATGGTGTTCCAATGGCTAGTCATCGGTGTTCCCTGTGAGCTGCCTGCTTGGGCGGCCACTCAGGAGAGATTCAAATGCCACCCGTGTCTGCAGAGCGCCCCAGCTAGGTTTTGTTTCCACTGGTGGCGCACAGTCACACATGCCTCGGTGCACATAAAAAAAATTACTTTGCACACAGTTGGAAAAAAGGAGAGGCAACGCTTCCAGTCACCACTTCTGGGTCTCCGTTCTTTCTTCTGTACACGGGGCAAATACTCATTCCCTATCTCAATGGAGCGAGGCCACTGCTCCCGAGTGCAGACAGCTCTGAAGACAGGACATGTGATGCAACCACCATGTATGAGAATGCTGCTCGCTAAAGTAACTACAACAGAGACGAGGCACCCGAGGGAGAATTGCCTCCCAAAGCAAAAATGCAGTCAGCTGGTGGACAGCTAGTTTATGAACCTGGTCTTGAGCGCCACAAGTCCACGCCCCCGCAACGCATGCTCTTTGTGGAGACTCAAGAGCAGGCTTTGAAGAGAGGCTATAACTTTTAAAAAACAAACAGGCAGGCAGCCGCTGGCCACAGGATATTGGCTGTTAGCGCTATTTGCTCCCCCCTCCTGGCTGACAATTTTATGGCGGTGAAGAGCGTGTGCATACACTCCACTGGTCCTAACTGCACGTAAGGGGCCTATGGAGACAGCTGGAAAAACAACAGTTAGAACATGGAATAAGGGAAATCTGGTTTGCTTGAGGAGTTTGGGACTGATCTAAAACTCATTACGTGGAATGACGGGAGATAACTAAAAGATTTCAAATGGTCAACACAGTCTGGAGCCCGACTGGGGAGAACTGTATGTTCCTTTGGGGGTAACACTCAGAGCAAATCCCAGGAGAAATGAGGGTTGAAGAGCAACTCCATGCCAAGTTGTACCTGTAGCCACAACAGTGACAAACTTGGATCCAAAGTGACCATCTGGAGACAGGCGGCATATGTTGGGATGCTGGTTCTGAAAGTTTCCAGCAGTGATGCACTCTTCTGCACTTAAAAAATATGTATCCTAGGAAAAAATAAAAACAAAACATAGCAAGATGCTGGAGCTATGAGAAGCACCCCCCCTCCCATCTCACTGGAGTGCAATTGACGATGCCGTGGTAGCAACATGCATCTGAGGAAAGCTTGTGTGTAACATGCAAATGGAACACTAGAGGACTGAACACAGGAGACTGGCAGTCAGGAAGGCCAGAGTCCTAATCCTGGTTTGGTCCAGGATAGTGCGGTCCTGGGCAAGTCACATCACCATTTAGTGCCTCAGTTTCACACACATTACGCTAGCACTTGAGGGTCACGGAGCAGTGCAGTCTGTGTAAGATGTCGTGTTGATTTGCTCCCCAAACTTTCACCACGGACGTGCGCCTGCTCCTGTTCCCACCCTCCGCTGAAGCATCTCAATCAATGGTTCTGTCGCAAGCGTGGGCGAAGGAGACTTCATGCTGCTTCATATGCCTGTGGCGGGCTCCCATCAACCCTGCCTCCTCCTTCAAATGCCACTGAAGACCCATGTGTGCCATGAACCACTGCAATTGGAATGGGCACATCCCACCTTACGCTGCGCTGGCTTGACTTGTGCCCTCAGTTTCAGGCCCTGGGGGCAGGATTCTGCTTGGCAGAGCCTGCGTTTATGATGCCCTAGAAACAGCAATAAATGCAGAACGTAATTACTCATGCGCTTGCGCCTCACCTTGTTCCTGCTGTATCGAACAGTCCCCTTCCGCGTATCTTCAGAGACCAGATCCGTGAATATCCAGCCGACCTTTGAAGTGAAACAAAACAACCCCCGCTGTGTTTAAAAGGCAGCCTTCTTTCGCTCCTCCAAGATGGTCCTCCCCCCGCACGAGGGCCTGCTGTGCGGCCCCTGAAGGAAACGCCTCTCGCTCGTCTGAACACAACTCACACATCTGCCGTGTCAGCCAAGCAGGTGAAGGGACTTGCAGCTCTTTCTGTCTTACTGGGGATTTTTTTCATGGAAAAACCTGGAGGCTGCAGGTCTCTGAGCCTCCCCACACAGCAAAAAGCCACTTGCTGTGCAATATTTTGTTGACATGGTGTCGCGGCGATCTCGTTTTCTGACACTAGCAGTCACTCGTTAATATCAAGCGAACACTTTCCCATTCAATTCTAATTTATCCCCAATCCCAACCTGCTCTGCGCTGAGAAACAACTTACTCCTGCCTCTTCACTGCATGCACCGTACAGACACCTCTTTATTCAGACCCTCCCTTAGCCATCGAGCTAAGAAACGCTGCTCCGCACTCGCAGGGAGCCATGAGACCGATATGGCACGTAGGACAGATCTGCAGCCAACACTCAGGAACGATCCATTTTCAACCTGGCTCATTTGAACGGAACCGATGTGAGGTGCAAAGGGAAAGCAGGGGGTCTAATGACATCTACCAACTCAGGGGGCAGGGATAGCTCAGTGGTCTGAGCATTAGCCTCCTACACCCAGGGTTGGGAGTTCAATCCTTGAGCGTCTGAGCATTAGCCTCTTACACCCAGGGTTGTGAGTTCAATCCTTGAGGGGGTCATTTAGGGATCTGGGGCAAATCTGCCAGGGATGGTACTTGGTCCTGCCATGAAGGCAGGGACCTGGACTCAACAACCTTTCAAGGTCCCTACCAGCTCTATGAAATAGTTGTATCTCCATAATCAAACTCCTTGCTTCAGACACTGGGGCTACATCTACACCGGCATGATTTTCCAGAAATGCTTTTAACGGAAAAGTTTTCCGTTAAAAGCATTTTCAGAAAAGCACGTCTAGATTGGCAGGACGCTTTTCTGGAAAAGCACTTTTCCCCAGAAAAGCATCCAGGGCCAATCTAGACGCGCTTTTCTGCAAAAAAGCCCCAATCGTCATTTTCGCAATCGGGGCTTTTTTACGGAAAACACTACTGTGCTGTCTACACTGGCCCTTTTCCAGAACAGTTTTCCGGAAAAAGACTTTTGCCCGAACGGGAGCAGCACAGTTTTTCCGGAAAAGCACTGATGATTTTACATTAGATCGTCAGTGCTTTTCCGGAAATTCAAGCGGCCAATGTAGACAGCTGGCAAGTTTTTCTGGAAAAGTGGCTGATTTTCCGGAATAACTTGCCAGTGTAGACACAGCCTGGCAGCAAGAGACAGATTTTTATCTCCAGGGAACAAGAGAGATCATCAAGGATGTATGTGGACCTCTGACTGCAAACAAGGCCTCCAGCTTGAAAACATTCAACATCAGAAAAATCTCAGCACATTCAATACTTAGTGTTAGCCATGGCAGGGCGAGCGATACCCTCAGACAGTCCAGAAAATTAAATATAGATTTGAAAGTCATCTGCATACAGAGGAGGCTGAAATCCATATGTCTTGATTAAATGACTGACAGGTTGCATTCACAAGAGAAATAAAGAACTAAGAGCTGAACTCCACAGCTGCATTGTATACAAGTGAATTCTTGCCCCGTGTGAACACTCAGAGAGAGGCACTGGGCTCAGATAGCTGGGATCCTGATAGCAAACTGCAAAACCTCTCCAAGAAAGAACTAACCCCCCCAAGAACACTCATCCCACGAATGTGCCAAATTTTTTGGCCCACGGCCCACCCCCCTCAATGCAAACCTTTCCGCGGGCCATTAGCCACCCACCTAGGATGACAAAATGGGTGCAGTAGGAGGTGGGGGGGAGAAGGGGAGTCTGGCCAGGAGGTAAGGTGCAGGAGTGAGGTGGGAGGGTGCAGGGTTCTGGCAGGAAGAGGGTGCATGAGGGGTGCAGGGTCTGAGCATGGTGGGGATGGGAGGCGCTTACTTGGCTCCCATCACTCCCAGGCACTGCCTCCCTAATGCTCCCATTGGCTGTGATTCTGGCCAATAGGAGTAGCGCAGAAAGCCTCCAGGTGAGTGGTTTTGTGTGCTGCCGTTCTGGGGGAGTGGCAGCACAGGAGCCAGATTTGAGCTCCCACTGCAGCGAGAAGCCAGAGCTGGTGCTCCAACCATGTGGGGAGGAGGGATGCCATGGGGCTGGAGCACTAGCACAGGTTCCCCAGGAGGGTGTGTGGTGGGGGGCAGGGTGTGGGTGTGCCCCGAGCCCACAAATCACCTGCAAGACGGTTGTGGACAACACTTTGAGAACCACTGACTTGAACCCCTAGAAACACAAGGGCTATTGGCCCCCTACAAACAAAGTCGATTTCAGAATGTGTCCAGCCTTAATTTTACTCCGTCAAGCAGGCGAGAAATGATGAGAGAGGAGTCTTCCGCTCTACTCTGCGCTGAGCAGGCCTCAGCTGGAGAGTTGTGTCCAGTTCTGGGCACCGCATTTCAGGAAAGATGTGGAGAACTTGGAGAAGGTCCAGAGAAGAGCAACAAAAATGATGAAAGGCCTAAAAAACAAGAGCTATGAGGGAAGACTGAAAGAACTGGGCTTGTTTAGTTTGGAAAAAAGATGACTGAGAGGGGACATAACAGCTTTCAAGTTCCTAAAAGGGTGTTAAAAAGAGGAGGGAGAAAGATTGTTCCCCTTAGCCGATAAGGACAGTTCAAGAAGCAATAGGTTTAAACTGCAGCAAGGGAGGTTTTGGTTGGACATTAGGAAAAACTTCCCATCAGGGTGGTTAAACACTGGAATAAGTTGCCTGGGGAGGTTGTGGAATCTCCATCCCTGGAGATATTGAAGAGCAGGTTGGACAGACACCTGTCAGGGACGGTCTAGACGGTGCTTGGTCCTGCCGTATGGGCAGGGCACTGACTTGATAACCTCTCGAGGTCCCTTCCAGTTCTAGGATTCTATGATTTTATGATCCTTTCACTGCTGCAGAGAGAGACTCAAGAATTCCTTTGCCCAGACACGTTAGCCAACAGCGTTTTACTACCTTTGTCAGGCCAAGTTTTGCAGCAATCTCATCCACCACCTCAGCTTTCGGGTCTTCCAGGAGCTCCAGGCTGTTTTGGGTACCAATCTGTAAGGGAACAACAGAGCTTGCTTCTAAACCAGCATTACATGCAAAACCCGGGACAAACCAGGTTCTATCATTTCGGACCTTTCAAGAGAGACTGTCTAGAGCAGCGGTTCCCAAACTTTTGGGCATCACGCCCCCCTTTTTGATTTTTGAGAAACCCTCACACCCCCCTCCCCAAAAAATAGCAGCAAAACTTGGGGTGGGTTTGACGGGGTATGTGTGGCTGGGTTGCCTTCCAGCCCCACCTGGAATTTCTTCACCCCCCCCCCGGGGGGCACGCTCCCCAGTTTGGGAACCCATGGTCTAGAGGCAGTGGTCTGTTCCAAAGATTTCTCCAGCAGCCAGCTCTCCCTCCCTCTCTCTCTCTCACACACACAGAGTCTTTGTGCAGCACGCACACACACACACACACACCCCCCTCTATGCCACAGTCTCTATCCCTCACACACACACAACAGAGTCTTTGTGCAGCGCGCATACACACACACACACACACACAAATCTCTATGCCACAGTCTCTATCCCTCACACACACACACACACAGTGCCACACTCTCCCAGTCTGTGCCAGTCACACGCACACAGTTGTGTCAGTCTCCTTGTCACACACAGCCTCTCTCTCTCTCTCTCTCTAGCCCCTAGCTCCACCCCTTTTGCCTGAGACCCCACCCCTTCCAGGGTCCCAGAGCCAACTCCTTATGATTTCCCAAATTTTGTGGAGTAGCCCCACTGCAAAAACGATTGCCCACCCCGACACAGACAAGAACAATTTTCTGAACTTGCTGGCCGTGGCAGATCTCTGCTCATGTTGTATCTCTTTGAACAGGAGAAGAGCAGCTCAGAAGGAGTGTCGCGAATGCAAGAGCCCACCCAGGCCCTCCTCCCAGCTGTGGAAAACAATATTCTGCCACTGGGGTGCATTCCAAGGCAGGCGGCTTTGTTGCGGCGTTAGGCTGAGATGCTCTGCCACGCAGAAGAGCAGAGCTTTCTCTCCCCAGAGCAGCGGAGGCGGCTCCCTCTCTTTCGCCTTACACTCCACCGTGGTGCTGAGACAGACTCCAAGCGTCCTGGCTTCCACACTTGTGTGTGGCCTGGCACCTACAAAGGGCTCCCAAGGACACTGTGCCAACAAGCTGGCTTGGCTGGGCTGGCATTTAACAACCTCAGCAGAGTGGTTACAGGCTATTCACACGCACGGGCCTTCTCAAAGAGCTGGGTGAGACGTTCAGTGCTGACACAGAACCGATTGACTTTGTCGTTGGATTCCCTCGGAGGAATCAGGATGAATGAAATTCATGCTCCGTACCTCCCCAGAGGGCTGTGCACATGTACGGATTAGGCCTATCACACGCTACCGGCATACAACTGCAATTAGGGATGGGACAGTTTAACTGGTTAATTGGTGGGGGCTGGAGCAGCTCCCCACCTGCTGCGGAGGAAGGGCTGGCAGCAACCTCTGTCCGCAGCAGGAGTGGGTGCCCTGCAGGCAGGCGCTGCTTCCGCTGGGCTGGAGTGGCCCACCCACTCGTCCCCCCTTTAATCGATTAGCCAATTAGGGATGTTAAATATAGGTTAATTAACTAATCGACTAGTTGATGGATTTTCCATCGACTAGTCGCTAAGCAGGGGAGCTTTAGTGGCGTTAGCTCCCGGCCCAGAGAGCTAACCCCGCTGTAGCTCTGCCTTTTAAATGTACAAAGTCCTTGCCGGCTCTTAATACATTGAAAAGGCTGGTGCGCAGCAGGGAGGACCCAGCGTGAGCCTGGCCAGTTGATTCCTGGCTCATACCAGATCCCCCTGCTGTGCTTTAGCCTTTTAAACACACATTGCTAGCGGCTACGGCTACACTACGGAGCCTACTCCTGCAGCTGTACGGCTGTAAGGTCTCCCATGTAGCCACTCTTTGCAGCCTTCACACCTCTGACTGACAATACTTTCACCAGCAAAAGGGGTAGTGCAAGGCCTAGGACCTGGCTGCTCGGTTCCACCCCAAACCAGTGGGGATTCAGGCACTGAGCTCCGGAGGCTTTTAAAAGTTGCAGCCTCAGCTTTGTGACTGTCCTTGCTCACTGCTCTCCTCAGGGGCTGGGCTCACTCCACACAACTAAGGATGTTAACTAGCGGTTAATTAACTAGTCGAGTAGTCAATGGAAACTCCATCTACTACATGACTAATCAATAGGCACTTCCGCATTCCTCCTTTGAAATGTACAAGAGCCCGGCATTTCCCCAGAACCCCAGGGTCAGCTGGGGAGTGCCCCAGCTGACTCTGGGCTCTGCGTAGTTTGAAATGCCACACTGGAACGCAGGATCAGCTGGGGATTCCCCAGCTGCCCCCGGGCTCTTTTGTGCATTGCAAAGTGGCAGCGCAACATGGAGCCCAGGGTCAGCAGGGGACTTCAAGTCCCTTTCTGACCGCAGGCTCCATGCAGGTGTTTCTGTTTTGAAACATATCAAAGCACTTTCCACTGGTCCTGGGCTGCACACAGAGTTCCGCCTTCCTCCTTTGAAATGTATGCTCTTGCACATTACAAAGGAGGAATACAGACGTGACTATTGAGTAGTCAATGGAAATTCCATCAAATACTCGACTAGTAAATTCCTCGATATTTAACATCCTTAGTGTGTATCTAGTTGCGATCTCCCCCCATCTGATACAGGCAGCAAGTGGGGGAGGGGAATTGACTAGTTGACTGACTATCCGATAAGCATTTGCTTATCCGATAGTCAGCTAGTCGACTAGTCCTTAACATCCCTATATACGACTGCACATCATCCTAGCCATGCTGGTCCCCGGACAGAGAGACACAAGGTGAGGGAGGCAATAGCTTTAACTGAACTAACTTCTCTTGGCGAGAGACACGCTTTGGGGCTACACAGACCTGAGGAAGAGCTCAGGGTAGCTCAAAACCTCGTCTATCTCACCGACAGAAGTTGGTCCAAAATAAAAGCTATTCCTTCCCCCAGCCCGTCCCGCTACAGTGCTAGACATGTTCAATTCCATCATTACATTTACAAAGCTTCGGCTTTTTAACATTTGAGTCAGTTATTAAGTTACATAAAAGAGATTTAATGTATTTGGATTCGCTGGAATTCCTATTCCTAGAACAGGGTGTGGTCCAACACTGTGCAGACAAGGCCAGAAAGGGTTTCTAGACAGTGACTAGTGCCACCTAGTGACTTTTACAAGTAACAAATCTGAAGTCTTTATTTTCAAGTTCACTATGTATTTATGGTCTTGTACGCCATGGGTGGGCAATGTTCCCTCTTTTTTTAAAAACCATCCATGAGTAGAATAAATTCTCTTGTGTGCACCAAGGCATGTGTGATGTGCACCACCAGTAGAAACATGATTCCAGTGGTGGGTGTTCTCCTAATCAGCTGGGTGGCATCTGAGTCTTTCCTTCGTGGCTGCCCAAGCGCTCAACTTCCCAGCAATACTACGGGTGGGGAACCTCCGGCCCACAGGTCGCCTGCTCAATTTCATCCAGCCTGCAGCAAGTTTCCGCACTGCAGGCTGGAAGCCCTAAGACCGGATGCTGGTTCGTGGCAATCAAGGAAGCGCAACATTCTGCTCATGGGTGCCACCCCCGCAGCTCCCGCTGACAGGGAAGCTTGGCCAATGGGAGCTGCGGGGGCGGTGCCTGTAGGCGAGGGCAGCACACGGAGCCCCCTGCCCACCCCTCCCCTGCCGGGGTCATGGCGACGTGCAGGCCGCAGCCACTTCTGGGAGCAGCTGCAGCACGGGGCCAGGGCAGGCGCTGAGCGCCGCCACCACCTGGGACTGCCCTAGGTAAGCACCCTGCACCAGTCCTGAGTCTCCTCCCATACTCAAACTAGTCTCCCAGAGCTTGCACCCGCCCCTCCTGTCCCAGCCCCCATCAGCTGCCGAACTCCCACCCAGACCCCAACCCTCCAGCCCGGAGCCCCCTCCTACAATCCGAACCCCTCGTTATTGGCCTGAGTGCCCCTCCCCCAGGGAGTATGTGGCCCGTGACGGATTTTTTCTGGGAGTCAGTGGCCCTGATAAGAAAAGGGTTCCCCACCCTTGCTAAACACAGACAAAAGACAACCCAAAATGCCATGGTAGAGGTTCAAACATGCAATTGACCGCTGTGCTAATCTACTGATCCGGTCTGCAATTAGATGGAGGCCTGCTCATCTTCACACTTGACAGAGCTCGAAGCAAGATCCGCAGAAAGGGAGACACACTGTCCCGTGGTAATTCACTTTCTTCCAAAAGGCAGGCTACCAAGACCAAGCTAAAACCTGAGGCACTCCGCTCAAACCAGATCTGTCCATTTCTGCATAGCAATGGCAGATGTCTATGTGGCAGTCTAATATACTAAAGAGAAGCAATGCCACTTTGACCCCAAATGTCGATTTTATCACTGTTTTTATAACATTTAAGGGCAACAGAGATATTTGCATGAGCACGTTTTGAACCAAACTGGTGTGGCTGTCTCAAAACATTCCAGAACAAAAATTTCCCGCTGAAGTCTTTGCAACCTAAACCCCTCCAACCTGAAAGTGAATCCCACGCTCAGGGAATCACTTGCACTTCATTTCCTTTTGCGTTTCCCTGTGCTCGGGCAACTCAAGTCAGATACACGGTGAAAAGCAAATCTGAGAGGTAGCACCACTAATCTAAGATGGCACAGACAATTATTCACTGTATGTGATTTACATCTGGACAGTTTTCCTTTTGGAGCTAGTGCATGAAATCTCACGTGTGATGGTCAGGGAACAAAGGGGGTTTCACGATCACGATCTTTAAGAAATAAAACGGTGACGTTCTTGTGTGGAGTTATTTTTTACCTGTGGCGGTTCATAGATGGCAGCTACCTCAGCCCGGATCGCCAGAGGGATGTCCTTGTGCTCTGTGTATCGGCCGTATAAGTACCCGAAATGCTGGTTCCCTGTCTTTCTCCAGAAGTCTAGGAAGCGATCCGCTATCGTGTGGTTCTCAAACATTATGTTGTCAACGTGCCTGTATTTCTGTCAGACAGAATGCAAGAAGGCTTTAGGCCAGCTCCCCAGTTCCAGACCAATGAAAGCAACTCCACTTTGCCTAACTTCCAGTCCAGTCGTGTCTCTCCAGACCTGCCTGGGATGTTCCCCAAACGATTAAGGAAGACATTGAGAAGCAGCTAGCTTGCTCCCCGCCTCCTCCCTCCTCTGACCCTCCCTGCTCCGAGCTCCTACTGCAGCACCCCTCCCTGTCCCCCCCTCCTCCCAAGCACGAACACAGGGCAGGCAGGAGGAGGGGGAAGCGCTCCAAATACCCAGCACCTAAAATCAGTTCTGGCTCCTGGCAAGGACCCTAACCCCACAACCCTTTCGGATTTCAAAGCCTCGTGGAATTTCGATGGGTGGCAAGGAGAAGCTGTGGGTGGCTTTTTGGGGCCTATGTGGACGGAGAGTTGAGAAGCCCCAGCCTAGCTCACACAGGGCAGGCAGGAGGAGGGGGAAGCGCTCCAAATACCCAGCACCTAAAATCAGTTCTGGCTCCTGGCAAGGACCCTAACCCCACAACCCTTTCGGATTTCAAAGCCTCGTGGAATTTCGATGGGTGGCAAGGAGAAGCTGTGGGTGGCTTTTTGGGGCCTATGTGGACGGAGAGTTGAGAAGCCCCAGCCTAGCTCCCATGAGTATCTTCTGCGCTGGGGGGAAACGACTGAACCCAGAACTTTTCCGAGTCTCTTTCTGCAGCAGCTAAACACGCTGACGGCCATTTTCTTAGCAACGGCAAAGGCTCCCAAGGGCCAGGTTGGCTGTTCGCATTGACGCGGTCTCCCATTCAAAAACGAGAAGGTAAATCACGGCTGGAAGAGCACAGGGCCTGCACCGCCC